GCTGTGTTATGCTGTGCTGTGCAGTGTGCACCATAGGCGCGCCGAAGAAAGCTGCTCGCACGCTCAATCTCTCACACCAATCACACGAATCACAAGCTACTCCTTTGCTACTACTCCATCTCCTCCCCTGGCATCTTGCGACTCCCAACCAACCATGCCTGCCTGCCTGCCCACTTCTACCTGCCCACACCTGCCCTGCGTGCCCACGTTGCCCCTATCGCCCCCATCGCCCCTATCGCCCCCATCGCCCCTATCGCCCCCATCGCCCCCATCGCCCCCATCGCCCCCATCGCCCCCATCGCCCCATGGCCCCTATCGCCTGACCTGGTTGGCCATGCGGCCGCGGGCCAGCCACGGCTTCCTCTCCCTCAGCGTGTGGAAGCTGTGCGCCACTTGCGCATCCATGCCTGGAGGACACAGGGCACGGGGGAGGGGAGACAGGGCGCGGGGGAGACAGGATGCGGCGGAGACAGGGCGCGGGGGAGACAGGGCGCGGGGGAGGCAGGGCACGGGGAGACAGGGCGCGGGGGAGGCAGGGCACGGGGGAGACAGGGCACGGGGGAGACAGGGTTGTATGGGGAGATGCAATCATGCTGGAAATGCATGCAGGTGGTTACAGAATCGACTCAGGAGCCACGGGCCAGCCACAGCTTCCTCTCCCTCACCCTGCAGAAGCTGTGAGCCACCTGTGCGTCCATGCATGGGGGAGAGAACGGGGCGAACACGCAAGCACTCCTGCACAGTCGACTATAGCACGAGCGGTGGAGAAGGGGGGGAAGGGGGGGGGAAGGGGGGGGGGGGGGTTCCCTGTGCAGAAAACTATTCTCGCTACTGACTCACGTGCAGGTAGACACGGCTGAGCTGAGCCACGCATACATACACCCACCCACCTATGCTAAAGTAGAGGTAGAAGTTGCCTTGGAACGACGTTGGCGCTGCCTGTGCATGGAGAGGAGGGGGGGAAGGGGAGGGGAGGGGAGGGGAGGGGAGGGGAGGGGAGGGGAGGGGAGGGGAGGGGAGGGGATGGGAGGGGATGGAGAAGGAGGTCCGGGATGATTGAGCGCAAGTGTGTGGTGTGCGGACACATGACACACCGAGACAAACACGGGGGATAACACACGCTCTTGAATTCAGGCACCACGGATTAAGACGGGGCGAAGAGGGATCGGGGAGGAGGCCAGGGGTAATCCGGTGGGGATGACTGCACGACGAGTGAATGAGACTGACACACAGAGACATGCTCGCATTCGCGCACACATGAGCACAATACACGAGGAAGAGGGGTGGGGGGAGCGAGGGGAGTGAGGGGAGAGAGAAAGGGATGGTTTTGAGTGCAGTACAGATGACACCTCTTCTGGGGACTCACCTCTTCTGGGAACTCACCTCTTCTGGGAACTCACCTCTTCTGCGGCCTTTTGCGGGTGCAGTGCATAGGGCAGGTGCATCTGGGTGGTGTCCATGTCAGGCGATGGGGTCACCTGCACGCTCCACCTGCACGTGCATGCATGTGTGCATGCATGCATACATGTGGCAACGATAGAGTACCGTTCTTAAGAATACCAAAAAGACCAACGAGCGAAGGAAGGGGCGGAAGGACACATGGCAAGCAGGGCGAGGAGGTGTGTGACGCACGGATGCGTGGCAGTATGAGCCCTTACATGCGAAGTAAGGGGCAGGGTTGGGGCAGGGTTGGGGCAGGGTTGGGGCGGGGTTGGGGCGGGGTTGGGGCGGGGTTGGGGCGGGGTTGGGGCGGGGTTGGGGCGGGGTTGGGGCGGGGTTGAGCATACAACACATGCAAAGACGCTAGAAGAAGGGGGTGCCAATGAGGGTTGTTTCTTTCAGCGTTCTTAAGAGCGACACACGCGACATGCGTGTGTGGGTTGGACAGCAGAGCGGCTCATCCATAATCCATCCATCTTGCAAGCTTTTTAATTTAGGCACCCGAAAAACGAAAAGTAATTATAAAAAAAGGAAAAGGACTCACTCACCCGTCAAGCTTGCATGGCCGGGCGCTGACCACCTCCAGTAGCTGCTTCTCAAAGAGAGCTATGCCCAGAAACGAAAACGCTGGACCCTGTGTGAAGGCATGGGGTGGCATGGCATGGCAGGCATGGTATGGCATGGTATGGCATGGTATGGCATGGTATGACATGGTATGACATGGTATGACATGGTATGGCATGGTATGACATGGTATGACATGGTATGGCATGGTCACAACGGGCATGAGGGTATAGGGAGAGAGAGAGAGGGACGAGAGACGTGCACGCCATGCGTGCATGCGCACGTGGACATACAGATACGCATAACATGGGATCATGCACATACAGTGGCGGAAACAATTGTCCACATGTTTAGCATATTTTTACATTTTGACGAGCTGTACGCTATAAACATTAAGCCTTAATTCATGATGGCCATACACGTAGAGAGGAGCAGTTAGAGCACTCACTCAAATCTCCTAAAACCATAGTAGTATATTTCATGGTCCTTCAAGATGAAAACATTTAATAAAAGCACATCCGGACAATTTGTACCGGGGACATGCAGCAAACTAGTTACTAGCAAAACTAGTACCTAGTCAACCGACACTTGGCCTTGATCACCACCTACACCCTCCTAGGCATGTTATCTACGAGGTTAGTGCAAACCTTTACAGGGATCTTCTCGCACTCTTCCTGGACCCACGCTTTCGCATAAGGGGGTGAGCACTAGGAAAACCGCGAAGTATTTGAACGTATGCAAGAGTACTGTGCACGATTTCATGTTGAATGTTATCTCTAAGACTAGCCATGCTGAGGTGTGGCCAAAGATGCCACTAGTCGATTGGTCTCGTCTTATCATGGATCGTCTTCATCGCACCGTTGTAGGTAAAAATTACGAGCAGAGTGGCGAAAAATTGCGTATCTGCCACAAAACTTAGGGTAACATAGCACGGTTGACAGTGCATCCTTGCACTATTAGAATCACGCTAGGATCCGTAGGTCTCTGAGCGGTGCAGCAGTCGAAGTAGTCGTGACTGGTAAGGAAAAATATTTGGGTTCAGGTCTGGTGAGGAAGAGGGTCACTCCAATGCTATAAACTCATGCTCTCCAAGCCATTCCAAGCCTAGGCGGGACACATGGCTTAGAATGGCTTAGAGAACACGAGTATGATACGCTGGAGTGACCCTTTTCCTCACCAGATCTCAACCCGGATATTTTTCTCCACCAGTCACGACTACTTCGACTGCTGCACCGCTCAGAGACATACGGATCATAGCATGATTCTAATAGTGCAAGGATGCACTGTCAACCGTGCTATGTTACCCTAAGTTTTGTGGCAGATACGCAATTTTTTCGCCACTCTGCTCGTAATTTTTACCTACAACGGTGCGATGAAGACGATCCATGATAAGATGAGACCAATCGACTAATGGCATCTTTGGCCACACCTCAGCATGGCTAGTCTTAGAGATAACATTCAACATGAAATCGTGCACAGTACTCTTGCATACGTTCAAATACTTCGCGGTTTTCCTAGTGCTCACCCCCTTATGCGAAAGCGTGGGTCCAGGAAGAGTGCGAAAAGATCCCTGTAGAGGTTTGCACAAACCTCGTAGATAACATGCCTAGGAGGGTGTAAGTGGTGATCAAGGCCAAGTGTCGGTTGACTAGGTACTAGTTTTGCTAGTAACTAGTTTGCTGCATGTCCCCGGTACAAATTGTCCGGATGTGCTGTTATTAAATGTTTTCATCTTGAAGGACCATGAAATATACTACTCTGGTTTTAGGAGATTTGAGTGAGTGCTCTAACTGCTCCTCTCTACGTGTATGGCCACCATGAATTAAGGCTTAATGTTTATAGCGTACAGCTCGTCAAAATGTAAAAATATGACAAACATGTGGACAATTGTTTCCGCCACTGTATGCATGTTTACACACGCACCTGTCCTTGGGCACAACCTCCCCAACCGGCCACACACACGCACGCACGCACGTACACCCATCCAAAGGTGCGCGAGCAGTCATTGCCAGTGCGGAGTGGGGCAAATCTCACCACAGCCCATGCCCACGCTCCCCCCTCTCACCTCCCCTTCCCCACTCCCCTTCCTTTACCTCTCCCCCTCCCCCAGCCCCACCCCCCAGCTCCCCCCACAAAAACACGCGAACATTCACGCAAACGCGCACATACCCATCCAAAGGTGCGCGAGAGGTCGTTGCCAGTGCCGAGCGGGATGACAGCGACGGGCGGCGGCGAGGGGAACTTCTCAAGCACGGACAGCAGCCACCCCACGGTGCCGTCACCGCCTGCCGTCTGCGCATGCACCCAGGCAGACCCATGCACCCAGGCAGACGCATGCACCCAGGCATGCACCCAGGCAGACCCATGCACCCAGGCAGACCCATGCACCCAGGCAGACGCATGCACCCAGGCAGACCCATGCACCCAGGCAGAGCCATGCACCCAGGCAGAGCCATGTACCCAGGCAGACCCATGCACCCAGGCAGACCCATGCACCCAGGTAGACCCATGCACCCAGGCAGACCCATGCACCCAGGCAGACCCATGCACCCAGGCAGACCCATGGCCTCACCCCAGGGAACAACGGAGAGAGGGGGTCAGTAGAGGCGTGGGGTGGGCAACGCGTGGGGTGGGCAATGCGTGGGGTGGGCAACGCGTGGGGTGGGCAATACGTGGGGTGGGCAATACGTGGGGTGGGCAATACGTGGGGTGGGCAATACGTGGGATGGGCAATGCGTAGGGTGGGCAATGCGTGGGGTGGGCAATGCGTGGGGTGGGCAATGCGTGGGGTGGGCAATGCGTGGGTTGGGCAATCCGTGGGGTGGGCAATGGTGGGGACGATATAAGTGCGTAGGCCTTTAATCCGGGGATGGACGATGATGGTGCGGGTATAGTGAAGGCCAGCGTTGAGGATAGGTAGGGGAGAGAGGGACAGGAACGCTTGGCGGCGCGCGTTCAGGGTGCAGGGTGCGTCGCAGACAGAGAACACTGCATGTACACCCTTCGCGCATTCGCGCATTGCACATGACTCCTTCCAGATTATTGACTTCGTGTGCCGTTCGTGTGTGATTCGTGTGCCGTTCGTGTGCCGTTCGTGCCTACCACTTCTTCGTTCGCACCGGTTGCTGCAGCGCCAGCGCCTACCCAAACCGGACCCTGACTTTCTCCGGATATTTTCTGGCCTGAAACCCCTTCCACTCACCCCATCCCTTCCGCTCCCCCCCACCCCGGTCGCCGCCACACTGACCACGATGCGTAGTCTCTGGCGTGTGTTGGCTGCGGACTCGTCGCCCTGCTCCGCCAGGCGCTCCAGGCACCCGAAGATGGTCTCCAGCGCCACCTGCGGCTTCACCTTGCTCAGGTCGTACACCTGCCGCGCGCCGCGCACGCCGCGCACCACGGGAGGTGCAGCCGGGGGAAATTAGAAGAGGGGGAGGGATGGAGAGAGGCAGGGAGGGAGGGAGGGAGGGAGGGAGGGAGGGGGGAACGACGAGGGAGAGTTGGTATGTCGGAGGAAAGATGGTCTTTAGGGCAACCCGTGACTTCACCTTGGTCAGAACGTGCTCCGGGCACGCCGCGCGGGAGCGATGCAGCCGGGGGAAATGGGTAAGGAAGGAGGGGGGAACGCGGAAGGAAAGCAAGGATGTCTGAGGAAAGGTGAACAACAGGAAGCGAACATGGGAACAACCCCCCAGCAGTGCACAATGTCGGGTGAGCACATACCTGTCGTCAAGCAACGACGAACGATACAGCGAGAATGAAAGGCGCCTAGCAAGAATGCGAGGCCGACATTAGAATAAAAGACGCACAATTCCCAGCATTGCCCTAATCAGCCGCACCTGAAGCGGGCCGATTTCCGTTATAAGCGCGTCGAAAAGCTCCGGCCCGAGCCGCCCTCCGCTCTTGGAGTTAATGAACACTATAAGCGGCGCATCGGGATCGTCGCCTTCCCCCGAGGCCACCTCGCCGGCGGGCCCGGCCTCCGGAACCGTTAGCTTCGCCTCGGTCACCGCGGCTCGGACTGCCGCGGCGACTGATTTCGGGAAGCGCAAGCTGTTGACGGTGAGCTTGGAGGGGATAATGGTTTGCGCCGCGCCTTTCGCCGCGCGAAGGCTCTTAATCGCCACCTTGGCGGGGATCGCGTCTAGAGTCGCGCCGACGGCGGTAGGCTGCTCAGCCATTGGGGTTGGCAGCGGTCACGGAAAAGCGGGTGTTTTGTGGGCAGCTGATGGACACGATAGGCTGCGTCACAGTATCTAGATAGCCGCAGTAACTATCAGCGTCACAGATAGCCAAAGTAGCTAGATGATAGCTTAAGAAACTGGATTGCAACTTAGTAAAAAGCCCGGTTATTACTACTGAACGATGCGAATTGTGTATCACCGATGGGAGTTTGGAACTGCAGAAAATACTGCTGCTAAGCAATCCCTGTGGAGTTCGAACAGCCTTGCCCGAACTTCAACCGCACTCTACCACGCGATGTCCTTACTAAAAAATGCCAAGACCGTTGTTAAAACTTCTGTACTGTTCTGAATGTTCAAACTTCCAGAAGTTCGGAACTGAATGTTCCACACCCTAAGGGGGTGTATGAAGTGAAACCAAGAATGACGTCCCGGGACGTCAGCGAAGGCTTAGTGTGGTTACCCCATGTAACAATTACTGTAGACGCTCTGTCAGTGTTCAGCAGAAAATATGTCCCATCCGAGCTAACTTCCCAGCTCATTTTGCGCTGCCCAAAGCAATGCCCGTGGGCAGGGATCGAAAAAACAAAACCAAACACTGCCCAACTCGTGCAGCGACAGCACGAACCAGCTCGCGAGATAGGGATTTCGCAAGTGGAGTGCCACTTGCGCGGTGTGGCCCAAAAACGAATGCGATGTGCAGTCCCTATTTTTTTTCGCACATTACAGCATTTTTTTGTTACATTACGCTTCGGTTTTTGCACCCTAAAAGAAATTTTCCAGCATGTTTCGCATTTCGTCATTGTTCAATGTGCTTGTGTAGCCCTCGGAATAAGCTAAATTTGACGTCGCGCGGACGTCACCGAGTGACGTCAAAACAGCTTATCGGGCATTGCCCGTTTACTTCATACACCCCCTAAGGCCTGCACTTTCAGTACGGCCAGCTGGTCCCTTCGCGGGCAAGCAGTTCCCTGTGCTGCAGAAAGCAAGAACCCATCAACGTTGATGAGTCAAGGAGATGGGTGGGTTGCTTGCTTTGCCCTGCACCTGCTTCGCGGCAATGCCCAACGGACTGGAGAGTGTTGGTTTCACGGGCAGAAGTGCTTGGGCCGCGCCTCGACTAAATGAACCATACGAGAACAAATTGTCTCAGGCGTGACTATAAGGCAGGAAATCTGGCAAGCTGGCGGAGGACGTGTGGTTACATGAAAGCTGACGAAAGCGACGTAACGACAGAGTGTGACGCTAAAGGGGGACAGGAACAACAAAGTGGAAATGGGGCACGAGGAACGAGCTTGTGCTGAAAAGAAAAGGGAATGTCGAGGAGAGGGGAGGGGATGGGACGGACGATACCAAGGCCACTTGAACGTTTCCCACCATTGCGCGAACGACCCAGATTGGTTGTGTACTGAAATCGCTGAGCCTGGAGGGCGGGAACACTGCACCATATCCAGAAATCATGGAGATTCTGTATATGGTTCACAGCCTCCTCGATAAAATGAAAGCTGAGAGAAGCATAGCATACAAGCACATAGCTAACGCCATCTCGTATCTTTTTTAATGTTCATTATTCATCATTTATCGGTTTCCAATATTTGTTTCTAGTACTATGCATGATATTTCATTCTTGAAAATAAATTGCGATGAACTTGCAACATCAAATGCAGAAAATAGTAGCAGATCGATAGAACCATCACTACATACCCATGTAAAGCACCTGTTTCAATTTTAGTTCATGAACTCATAAAGATGCAAGAGTTTAAAGAACATGGTTTTGGAAGTAGAGAGCAATTGATGGTTGGAAGGATGCTGGGCACTGGTGCTGATATGGAGGACAGGGTCATGTTTCGCATCACCTGTTTGCGAGTACGAATTACCTCCAACCTACACATGCCTCACTTGTGTGCCACGCCGATCCGCTCAACAGCCACCCCACTACGGCCAAGCCACCATGCTTCTTTCCCTCGTTAATAGCACCTTGCCGCAGCCAGCCTCTCCCCTGCTCCGAGAGCAACCATGTGAGCGACAGGCGTTTGGGTCCGCTAAAGCCACACTCGCAAGCCCCGTTGCGCGCCGATCGCTCGCGATACGCGCTGCTCCGTCTGCGCAGGGCCACGTGGCGCCGTCGGACCATGTCCAATCGGAGCCCGGGCCCGAGGTTGACGCGGGGGAACAGTTGGCGGCGAAGGAGGCTCGCGTTCGCGCGGAGGTTTCGCGACGAATTCGGCAGCTGGGGCGGGAAGGGAATGCGTCGGCCGCTGTAGAGCTGTTCACTCAAATGCAGGTGGGGCATGGTTTGCCTCATTAGACAGGCACAGCCCTTTCGATGCTCGCTTTCCCCGGATTTACTCAAGGTAGAGGTGCTGCTTCCGGTCTTGACAGAGGGTTTGTTTGATGGCCCTTGTGACTTGCGCAGTGCTCTCTGCCAAGTGCCCTCTTCCAGGGGCGAGGGGTGGTGGCTGTGTGATCCTCGCTTCTTGCTTCCTTTTTCCCCAATCGAACTGATAGCTACGCCTACGGCTTATCCTTCGTTAGAACGCTCAGTCATTCTCCCGTTTGGACTCTAAACCCTCGCATAACCCCTGTCCCCTTTCCCACTTCCCTGGACCTCCGCCTTCTCCTTTTCTAAGCCTCGCATATCCCCTCCCTCCCCCTCCTTTCTCCCATTCACCCACCTTCCCCTCCCCTCCCCCCCCCCCCCACCCCCCAACACCTCTCCCGTTTCCCCCTCTCCCCCGCCTCCCCCCCCCTTCCCACTGTCCCCGGCCTGTCACCCTTTCTCTGCCATCCTCATCTCTTTCCCGCCCCCAATCCCCCTCTCCCCCCAGGCGGACGGCATAGCCCCAGACGCCATGGCAGCCACGGCTCTGATTGACTGCTGCGTGCGCTGCGGTGAGCTGGCCCGTGCCGAGCGCACCTTCTTCAACCTCTTCAGCAAAGCCCCACCCACCAGCAGTAGCAGCAGCATCGCCTCCACAGCCAGCAGCGACGTTGGAAGGGCGGCCAATCTGGTGCCTGACGCAGTGGCGGTGGGCGTTCTGCTGCGGGCGTACGGGCGCAAGAGCCCGCCGCAGTGGGCCAAGATTCAGCAGCTGCTGACGCGCATGGAGCTGGACTTCGGCCTGCAGCCGTCCACGGCGATTTTCAACGAGCTCATGGATATCTGTGCGAGGGACAATGCGGTGGACCGTGGTGTGCAGCTGCTGGACCGGATGGCCGAGGCAGGGGTTGAGCCGGATGTGTTCACGTTTGAGGCGGTGAAGCGCCGGAGGACACTACGCTCGCATTTCAAGAAGCTTTTTAACTGAACAGGGTGGACAATACTACGGATAAAGTATAGCTAATTAGAGAGAAGGGTACAGAAAGTGGTATGGGCTTTGGGATGGGTGGGTTGGAGGTTGAGGGATGAGGCTGACAAAAGGCGAGGGTGAGGGTTTAGGAGAGATGTCACTATGCTGGTGACTTCTTGATTTATCGAATGGGTTAACTGCCCCATTGTTGAATGAAGATAGCTTAGCCAATGGTGGGAGATAATGTTGCTGTTTGTGACATTTGCAGCTACACTTGAAAAGCATACTATGGTATTCCTCCCAGTGTCCGTACACCCCACCTGGGCTCTGCTGTATGAGAGTTAAGAGCTGGACAGTCAGCAGCAGTAAGCCAATCAAACGATCTGGCAAGCCTGCTTCGCTGGCGTTGCCCCAGTACAGGCCAGCTCAGCACCGTGTGTATTCGTGGAGGGAAATGTACGGACGACACGGGTAGGAGGGGCGCTCCGAAACGTCATTTTCCGCCACGGACTGACGACGACTGCCCGCATCGCGAGCGCGATTCGTGGTACATCTCGAACCGCGTGTCTGGATGTATCGCGCGCGCAGTGGGCTGCGCGAATTATGGGGTGAGATTTGGAATTGCTGCTCTGATCGCATCTGACAAGACCAAGCGACACAGAAACCACGTTGAGCAGCAATTTCCCGCAGTGAGAAGAACACAAATCGACCACCGTGTCTGGATAAATACCAATCCGCACGTGTTGCATACCTAGTAATTTGAGGTTTCGCTTTGACTCTTGGCCTTCTCGCGAGTACTGTCAGCACTTCCGGCACTGTCGCGGACACACGTGGTAATATTCAGGCTCCTTCGCTCGACGCACGAAGTAGGAGGTCACGGGTTGCGGCGGATCCGCACTTTATCTACTTCCCTTTCATTCCTAACGACGCCGTGAAGCGTCAGGCAACCCAGTGCACGGACCCTAAGTTGGGAACGAAGCGATCTAGCTGCTTCGGCGAAGCGTGTTTCGGGAAGCCGATCGGCTCCTCACCAACTAAGGCGCACGAGGTCCCGCGATCACCTCCCGTTACAAGATCCCACCACATCAATTTTCGCTTCCCCCGACCCGGTCGGCAAAAATGGGCTGCGGCTGTGCGAGTCTGCTCTCCCTCCCCCTCCCCCTCTCCCTCCTCCTTCTTCTCGTCCTGGCCTCTCTCGCGCATCTTCCCCGCGCCATCGGCGCAGCGGATGCGCCGCCGCCGCAGGCGCCGGTGGCGGTGCCCCCAGCGGTGGTGAAGCTGGGCTTCCTGCTGCCGGTGCAGGAGCGCAACCTGGACATCCCGCTCAACCTCGCCCGCGAATGGTACGTTCCGCCCACTATCTTGCTTACATATTCAGGCAGTGTTTATCCTAAAATTACAACCTTTCCGCCTTCCGTCTCTCCCTCCCCCCTTTTTTCCCCTCTCTCCCTCGCAGGGGCTCCGCAGCGCAAGTGGCGCTAGACGTCCTTTCCACCCGCTATAAGCGCTTCACCATAAAGCCCGTCTTCCAGGCCGTCGAATGCGCCGCGGAGAGCGCCGCGATCGGCGCGGAGGCGCTGGTGAAGCAGGGCGTGGCGGGCGTGGTGGGCCCCGCGTGCAGCGAGGCCGCGGTGGGCGCGGCGCCCGTGCTGAGCGGCGCGGGAATCCCGATGGTGTCGTTCGCCGCCACGGCCGACGCGCTGCGGAATCGCACCGCGTATCCGACCTTCTTCCGTACTGCGTGAGTGCGGTGCTGGTAGCTAGCTCTTGGTCGGTCGCTCTCGCTGACTCCTACTCGCCTACTGGACTCCAACCTACCCCCCCGACAGCGTAACTGTTGCTACGAGTTACCCGATTTCTGCTACGGTAGTTCAACTTCCCCTGTAATTTTCCGTCCCTGGCTTTCTCCCTGCCGGGGAGAAGAGCACTAGTAGTATGTGCGGATGCATGTGATTGCGATGTATGTGTGTATGGCCGCTGCATTGGCCCAGCTCCTGTGATGCGGGAGGTGAGAGTGTGTGGATCTGTTTGAGGACCATGCACACAGCCCGTGCGGAGAGTGCCTCAAAACATGATGCGGGAGGGTACAGTGAGTGCCGTTCTTCACATGTCCACTCAGGCCCTTTCCACTCTATCCACCCCTACTTTTTTCTCTCTTATCTCTTTCTGCCCTCCAACTCTGCCCCTTTCCTCTCCGCCTCTGGTCCTCAGCTTCGGCGATCGGCACCAAGCGGCCGCCATTCGCAGCGTGGTAAGCCTCCGTCGTTATCCTCATCGTCCATCCGTCATCGTCCGTTCGCAAGCCGCTCGTCTCCTACTCCTCGTCTTCCCCTTCCTATTCGTCCCTCACTTCCGCCTTTCATGCGCCCCGCTCCTCCCACTTCTCCCGTCTCCCGTCTCCCGTCTCCCGTCTCCCCCCCTCTTCGTCCCGTCCATGCGCCCGCTCTCCCCATCTTCTCCCCCGCCCCTTGCCCCCCCCGCACCCCCCTCTGTGGCCACTGTATTCCCCCCCCCCCGCGCGGCGCAGATCGACCAGCTGCAGTGGAAGCGCATCCTCGTGTTCCACTCCGCCGAGACCTACGGCGAGGCGCTCGCCTACGACGTGAGTCAGAGTGACAGCCACTGCCGCTTTGCCGCATCGCCGCTTTGCCCCATTGCCGCATTGCCGCATCTCCCCATTGCCGCGTTGCCGCGTTGCCCCATACCGATCCGCCCATTAAGCTCTACCTTCTAACCGTAACTCTCTTATTTCTCCAGCCTCCTTCAACCGAATGCTAGCCCTGTGTGGCCACTGGGGCGCTCCCGTCCGCCGTCGAGCTTCCGCCTCACCCCTTCCCCCTCCTCCTTCCGCCTTCTCCCCCCGCCCTGCTCCGCCCTGCCCCGTCCGCAGGTCGCCCAGGAGCCCCAGCTGCAGGTGCGTACGGTGCGCATCCCGCACCCGCCCCCGCGGACTGCTCCGCGTTCTTCCCCGCGGCGGCAGACGACTGGATGCAGGCGTCGGAGGACACGGGCGTGGTGCTCGCCGTGCTGCCGCGCACCGCCTCCTGCCTCTGGGCCGCGGCCAGCAAGCTGGTGGGTGCCGGCGGGTGCTGGTGGGTGCTGGCGGATGCTGGTGGGTGCTGGTGGGTGCTGGTGGGTGCTGGCGGGTGCTGGCGGGTGCTGGCGGGTGCTCCAATGTGGAGTAAGTTGATACCACGTGTTACCACTATCAAGCACTGCGCTCACAGGAATAGAGTCTGGTGGGATGGCTAGAGGACACGTGGGGGGGGAGGGGCGGGAGCTCGCCGTGCTGCCCACTCTGTTTGGTGTGAAACACACTGCTAAGAGACGCACAGTGCTGCCTCTGGCCCTCCGGGGCGGCGTTGCACCTCATGGATGCACACAATGCCGCGTCAACCACAGGCCTTGATCCTCTCCTGTCGACCTTTTCCCTCTCCTGCTGCCTCATCCCGATTCCCGCGCCCCATCCCAGAACCTACTGGCGTACCCATGGTGGTACCTGGGCACGGACGGCGTGGCGGCGTTGGACCTCATGGATGCAGCGCCCGAGTCAGGCGAGGAGATGCTGGGCGGCCAGCTGGAGTACGAGCTCGCGCTTGCGCCCTCAGGTTGGTCTGTGGCCTTCACGTGGCCTTCAGGTGGGCTTCAGGTGACCTTCAGGTGACCTTCAGGTGGGTCTCATTTCAGTCTTGTGGTGAGTTGTCTGATGCTGTTATTTCGCCTGTCCGTCCCCTATCGCTCATCCCTACTCCTCCTCCCTCCCCTCCTCCTCTCCCCCCCCCGCCCCCATCAACCCTTCCCCAGCCGCCGACCCCTCGGGCGAGGAGGCCTTCGCGCCGTTCAGGAGCTACTGGCAGCAGCAGTCGTACGCCGCCTTCCCTGGGCTGCTCACCTTCGACGCCGCCCCGCACTTCTCCACCCCGCGGCCCTTCGTGCCGCACCTCATTGACGCGGTGTGGGCGTTCCACGAGGCTTTCAACAAGACCGTTGGGGAAAACGGTACGGCGGCGGTGATGGTGGGGTGGGGACGGGGGACGGGGGAAGTGAGAGGGGGACGGGGGACGGGGGAAGTGAGAGGGGGACGGGGAATGGGGATGAGGATGACATGGTATAGATCAAGCAAGCAACTGCTAGTCCATCTCTCAACGAAGTCTTGATCTAGCCCTCTTTTCCTCTCCCTTTCATGACTCGCCCTCTCTCTCTCCCCTTTGCGCCCTACACACGCAACCAACGGCTGCCTCCCTCCTCTAGGCTCGTTCCCGTCCACTTCCCAACTGCTGGCGTGCTTCAATGACTCGCCTGCCGACTGCGTGTCCTTCGCGGGGACAACCGGCCACGTGCACTTTGACTCCGACTCGGGCGAGCGCAGCAAGCTGCACGTGTCGCCGCGGTACTCGCTCATGCAGTTTGCAGGGCTCCCCTGGATGGTACGCCGCTGCTGCTGCAGTGCATGGTGCAGGGTGCAGGGTGCAGGTTGCAGGGTGCAGGGTGCATGGTGCATGGTACTTGCAGGCAGGCACTATCCAATTCATACCCACTCACGAGATTGATTGGGCATGCGCAATTGGTCCATCTGCTCATCAAGCTCAGCTCATCCCCGTGCACGAGCCGGCATGTCACGAGCATCCTCTCACTTCACTCTCCCCTGCTCTCTCTCCTCACTCTCCTCGCACCACTCATCCCACCCCCCGTCCCGGCCCCTCACCAGCCTGTGGGGGAGTGGGTGGAGCAGCAGCAACCGCGGCTCAACCTGACACAGCAGACGCCGCTGATGCGACCAGCTGATCCTGCTGGAGACACCAGCAGCAGCACAGGAGAGGTGAATGGAAGCCTGACAGGGGAGGTTGCTCCTCCTGCCAGCAACAGTAGCAGCAGTGGTGGTGGTTCCAATGGTATTGATGGCACTGCTGGTGGTTCGTCAGTGCGGCAATCAGCTACCATTGAGGTAAGCGTGCATGTTTGTAGCTGTCCGTCTAGGCGTGCATAAGGGGAAGGGAGTGGGGTGGCAGGAGGGGCAGGGCAAGGGTAAGAGTGTGGGGGGAGTTCCTGCGCCCCTGAGGGTGGAGAGTCCGGGTGTGTTTCCTGTCACTGGTCGCTGCTCTGCATAAACGAAGGGCCGGTTTCACTGACACATCCTCTTCCCTGTTTCTTCCTTGCTGAATACAATTCTCCCCCGGATTGCAGCCCACCACTGCCGCAACTGACAGCACAAGTGGCGGCAGCAGCAGCAGCACTGGATCCACTATAGCAATAGCAGTGGTGTGCAGTGCCATGCTGGTGGCTTTGATTGCTATTGTTGGTGCCATGTTGTGGAGCAAGCGGCAACACTTGTTTGTGCACGAGGAGCCTAAGCACCATATGGTGGCTGATGATGCTGATGTTGCAAGGGGAGGAGTGCACTTGCTGTAGTGCTAGTGAAATCAATGTGCCTTTGGATTTTCTTCGCATAGATGTATTGTATTCTTTACTAATAGTTAGCATGCTGAAGTTGCAACTCTATCCTTACGGGTGTGTTGTATCAGAGTAGAAGAATGAATTAAAAGAGAGAGAACATGTGAATATACCTAAGAGTTGTACCCTATATAAGACATGACTCTATTCAGTCTATGCAAACATAGTAGATATACATGTTTGACACACCCCCTAGACTGCATAGGGGCAGGTCATGACAAAACAGCTCAGGGTGGCACTACTAGTCCAGCCTCTAAGACAAGGGTCAAAAAGACCAGTCAGAAGGAGTACAGACAAGGCAAGAACAAGTACAAGGCGGCACTACTAGTCCAACCACTGTGAGAGGACACAAGTCCAGTCTGAGTGTACATATATATAGGACAGTACAAAGTCAAGGCCCAAGCAAGTGAGAGACTACAGGAACTAGACCAAGCTGTACACAGTGCCGCTGATGATCTTTATGCGCAAGTGCCTTCGTAAACATATCAGCTGTGTTGGCACCTGAGGCCAAGTGTACTACGCGAGCCTGGCGTCGCTGCTGTAGCTCGCGCAGGAGGAAGTACCGCAGCTGGATATGCTTCGCTCTGCCCTCGAGTCGAGGCTCCTGACACAGGAGGATCATGGCCCTGTTGTCAGCGTAAAGGACCGGGGCAGAGCTAGGCTGCTCACCTAAGTCAGCGAGCAAGAAGGTCAGCCAGCGGAGCTCCTGTGCCGCCATGGCACCGGCGTAGATCTCAGCCTCACAGCTGGACTGGGCAACAGACGAGGAGCGGGTAGCTCTCCACGAGACAGCACCTGAGCCAAGGCTGAAGCAGTAGCCCTGGGAAGACCTGAGCGTCTTGGCGTCGTCTGCCCAAGAAGCGTCTGTGTGTCCAGTCACGACCACCGGCCTGCGTCCGCCTAGCACTAACCCCATGCCCGATGTACTTGCAAGATAACGCAGAACCCTCTTAGCGGCAGACCAGTGCTGAGGTCGGTGTCTGCCTGTGGCCACAAAGCGCGCAAGGATGCTGAGAGGGTATGCGAGATCTGGGCGAGTGCAAGTCATCAGGTACATGAGGCAACCCACCAGCTCAGCGTAAGGACCACTCGGATCTACCGACTCCTCAGGAACTGGAGCGGAGAGTCTGTGGTCCAGAGGAAGAGGGGTGGGCTGTGCTGAGGAGAACTGAAGGCCGAACCTCTGAAGGACCTGGCGCACCAAGTGTGACTGAGTTAGGGTGATGGTGCGCGCGGCTCGGTCCCTGGAGATCTGCAAACCAAGGTAACGGCGCAGCTCTCCAAGGTCAGTGCAAGTGTGTTTCTTCAGCAGCTCTACCTTCACGGAGGCCAGTGCGTCCCTGTCTGCAGTGGCGAAGACCAGGTCGTCTACGTAGACAAGGATGTAAAACGGAGTCTGGCCAGCACGAACAAAGAGTGAGGGGTCTGCAGAGGACGGAAAGAACTGCAGGTTAGCGAGGGTAGCATGCAACGTGTCGTGCCACTCACGGGGCACCTGGCGCAGGCCGTAGACTGGGCGCCGCAGAAGCCACTGGGTCCCAGGAGGGAAGGCGCCAGTGAAGCCCTGAGGGCGACGCAGGTAGACCTGCTCGTGTAGGCTGCCCTGAAGGAAGGCAGTGGAGAAGTCGAGGGAGTGAAGCTCGTTGTCACGCTGAGCCGCTACGTGTAGCAGAACCCGAAGAGTAGTCATCTTCGGGGTAGGAGCGAAAGTCTGAAAGAAGTCCACCCCCTCGCGCTGACTGAAACCTCTATCCACGTAGTGCGCCTTGAACACAGGCGGCTCTCCAGGAGGGCGTTTCACCTTGAAGAGCCAGCGGCCATCGACTACGTTCACCCCAGGTGGGGGAACAGCGTCGACGAAGGTGCCGGTGGATCTCCAAGATGCCATCTTCTGCTCCATGGCAGCTATCCACTGAGAGGCCAGGGTCCCGAAACCGCCTCAGCGTAAGTACGAGGGGTCGGGATGTCGAAAGCGTCTGGGTCACCCTCAGGACTAGCAGCATGGAACAGAGATGGGGAGCAGCCTCGGACAGGAAAGCAAGCTCGAACTGGCGGTCCTCCAGGACGTCACTGCTGAGGGCAGAAGCACCCCCAACAGACGGAGGACAGGCAGGGTCAGAGACCAGAGCAGTGGCGTAGTCAAGGGCGGCGGGTAGAGTTGAAGTCAGCGACCGCAGCGACAAGGGCGTCAAGACTCAAAACCGGAATAGACGGGTCGGTAATGAGAGAGGCAAGGACCCGAGGAACAAGAGGACGAGCAGCACGAAAGAAGTCAGACAGAGGAGGAGACGCAACTGTAAGAGAAGACGGAGGAGGCGACGGGAGGAGGGGAGGACGAGACGCGTGGGAACGTAGCAACATAGGGTGAGAGCGCGGGGCGGGGGAGACAGGACGAGCACGGGAGGGACGGCGAGACCAGACGTGAGAGGGAGGCGTCGGTCAGGAGACAGAGGAGGGGACACGGGTGGGGAACGAGGGGGAAAACGAGCCGGGGACGAGTCCGGCGGAGGGAACACGGGGCCGTAGACGGGAAGAGGAGGAGACGGCAAGAGAGGAACAGGCGCAGGGTTAGGGGACGGAAGGCCGAGAAGACGAAGGGCGGACACCGGCGGGGACTGCTGCGGCTGCGACATAACACCAACACCAGGGCCGCAAGCTGCGCGACGGCTACCTCCCGAACCCTCCACGCCGGCACCCCCAGAAGGGACACCCCCAGAGCCCGAAACCCCGCCAGCGCCGGTACCACCCCCAGTCCCGCCGGGACAAGCCACGACAGGAGCCCCGGGACGAGTACCCACCTCAACGCCAGCAACCCCAGAGTCCACGAACGGCGGCAGCGACGACAGCGGCGGCGGCGTCGGCTGCAACAACTGCTGCGACGGCGGCGGCGGCGGAGACGACAGCTGCCGCAGCTGTGGCGACGGCGGCTCCGGAGGCGGTGGAGGTGGAGACAGCGGGGGAGGGTCTGGCGGCGAGGACTGCGCCGGGGGACTACCAGAGTTAGAAGACTCCTCGACCGGGACACCGACGGGAGGGGGTGACGTGAGACACACCAGAGGGGGCCGGACGGGGGGGAGGGGGGGGGGGAGGGGCAGGGACCACCAGGGAGGGAGGAACCAGGAACAGGGGGAAGTAACCGGGGGACCATGGTGGGGGAAGCGGCGGTAGAAGGAGACGGACTCGTCAAAGGTGACGTTGCGAGAGTGAAAGAAGCGGTGAGACGGCGGGTGGTAGAAGTGCCAGTCAGACGCGTCAAGGGGGAAACCGAGGAAGATGCAGGGAAGGGTGCGGGCAGTGAGCTTGTCCGTGCCAGAGGCACGAACGTGAGCAAGGCAGCCCCAGACGTGGAACGCAGACGCGTCACCAGGGGACCCGGTCCACAGAAGGGTCGGCGAAACCTGCGGCCGCTGGGGGTGCGGCCACAGGTTAAGCTGGTGAGCAGCGTAGCGCACGGCGAACGGCCACAGAAAATGGGGTGCACCGGCATGGATCATGGAGGTGCGAGCCACCTCCATGACCAAACCGATGCGTCGCTCAGCGACCCCATTCTGCTGCGGGGAGTCCGGCAGGGTAAACGTCTGGGTGATGCCCTCCGCACGACAGAAGCGACCGAGGACACCGGAGGCAAACTCGCCACCACGGTCAGAGTGAAGACGCAAGACAGGGAGACCGCGGTGGACACGAGCAGAGGCAATCCAGGGGATGAGAACGTCAGGCACGTCAGCCTTCCGCTCCAAGGGAAAGACGGTGGTGTAGCGCGTGAAGTCGTCGACAAGCACGAGGAAGAAGCGCTCGCGACGCGGCCCATGGACGGGGGCGGGGCCCCAGACGTCCATGTGTAGAGTCTGCAGCGGTGCGGCGGTAGGGGGAAACGAGGAGGAGTGAGGGGCACGGCGAAGCCGGCCCTCGACGCAAGGCGTGCAAGGTGGGGCGGGGGAGGAGGGAAACTCGGGGAACGAACCGGGGAGACCAAGGACGAGACCTGCTGGGACATGTGACGCAGACGCGGGAGCGCAGGGTGACCAAGGCGGTGGTGCCAAAGGAGTGTCGGGTGAGTGAGGGACCGACAGGAGCAAGCAGCAGCAACCTGAGTAGACGCAGCCACCTGGGGGGACGTCCCAGCCGGGGAAGTCACGGTGTCAAGTGTGAACAGGCCTGACACCGGGTTCCGGGGGAACGTGGTAAGGGGGGCACCAGTGGCGGCCTCGGTACAGACAGCATACCGCTCGTGCCCAGGGAACGTAGTGGTGACGCCAAGGTCCTGGAGGCAGCCGACACCAACTAGGTTCCTGGAGAACGAGGGGATATGCAGACCTGTGAGCGAACCCGAAGGAACCGCCGGACAGGGAAGGGAGGTGGAACTGCGGGCTACGACCGGACCACCGGAGGGGTCAGCAAGAGAAACGGCAGCAGGAACAGGAAGCGGCGTCAGCGTAGTGGAGTCGCGGAAGAAACATCGGGAAGCGCCAGAGTGAGTCCAAGGTGAAGGAAAGTGCAGCAGTGGCGCCTGGCGGCGGAGAAGCGGTGGAAGCACCGAGGCTACACAAAGCAGGAGATCCTACGCCTGACGCAGCAGGAGAGTCTACGCTAGGCACACCTACACTAGGCAACACGGGGTAATAAGAAGGAAGCACACTAGAGTCATCAGCATACATCACATGCAGGGCGGCTACAATGGCTTCCATGTCCAAGTCAAAAATCTGAATACTACGCCTAAGCAAACTGTGCCAGTCCGGGAGGTCGGGCGACGGGCCAAAGCGCTGACGGAACAGGTCGTCCAGGCGACAAAAACAGCGAGGAGTGGAATGACCGATCTTACCGCAAACGAAGCCGCGGCGCGGACCGGTCTGGATCTGGTACTGACAGCGCACGCCTCCGGAACCACCACCCGGCGCACCACCACGCGCACGGCCACTACTAGCTCCAGGCCACCGGGGCGGGAGGGCGCTCGCATGCCTCGTCTGCGGTGGCTGCTCTGGCTGCTGCGGAGGCTGCGGCTGCGGCGACTGCTGCTGCTGCTGCGGCTGCTGAGGCAGTGGGTCAGCCGGACTGGGCAGCGTCCCCTCGTCCGCTC